GCATGGTGGTGTAATGTCTTGCTTGTGAATTTTCCAGACTCAGCCTGCTCACCAGTATTGGAAATAGATTACTGGATCTGTTTGACATTTGGACTAGCTGAGCCATGCAGTTCTTATGGCTGAATGGGGATCTCATCATCCCTTGGCTCTCACTGAAGTTTATTTTGGAGGAGGAGGGGAAAAGCATAGTTTTTAAAAGAATATGTATGGCAAAGGAAAATAATTTTCTGCTTCAATGTGAAGGAGGTAGTTATTTCCCCCCCCCCTCTCTTAGAGATTCTTTAAAGATCAAAGTGTGGTAGCATCTGAGTCCTTCAGATAGTCCCTCTCAGTGAGTCAACTGCTCTAGTGCACTGGTTCTTAACCTTGGGTTACTCAGGAGTTTTGGACTGCAACTCCCAGAAGCCTTCACCACCAGCTGCCCTGACTGGGGTTTCTGGGAGTTGCAGTTCAAAAGCATCCGAGTAACAAAGGTTAAGAACCACTGCTCTAGTGCAGAGACAAAGTAAGGTGAAGGACTGAGAAAGATAGAGTTTCAGTTTCAGGACCCTGGACAGTACCACAGATACTGTCCAGAGGTTCTTGGCTTGGGTTGTTCAAGGCTAACCCTTACAATGTTACCAGTAAGTTAAACACTGCGGCTTACCTCAGCAGTGGGTTGTGTTAAACAGCCAACCTTTTGTTGCCCAACCAAGTGAGACCTTCGGTGAGCTTTACCCTGTCAAGTACAATATCTAGCCAAGACACTTAAGGGATCCAATGTGGCAGGTCCTATTTTAGGGGAAACAAAGTGTGGGTCTCACTACTCCTCAGTGCTAAGGTTTCTGCTGATAATGAGCTGAAATCCTGAGGGTTCCTGATCCTGGCTAAGTCAGGTAATGAATGGGTTTTCTGCTTACAGCATTCATATTATCTTTCTGATTTGTTATTTCTAAGAGTTGTGGGGGTGCTTCCCAGTGAAAGTAATATTTCCATTTCTTCTTCAAACTAAAAATAATAAGAAACTTTCTTACCACAAATAGAAACAGCTTGCTATAGATTCTTGCATATACAAGCTTAATCTGCTGGTGCTTGCAAATAATTATAAGAATCTCCATGTTACTCACGTTTTCTTGTGTAACTGAAGTGGTTTACATGAGAGTGGAAATAACTTCAATTTCCAATTGAATCACATTTCAAAAATGCAAGCATTTGTTTTCTGGGGAGAAATGTGACTCTGAAGGTTTGTGGTGATTCATCTATCCCAGTTCTTATGAATCTTTCATAGAGTTCTGAGTTGGTGAGAGAGGAATGGCATTTCCTATGAAGTACATTTGAAGCATTTTCTGCTATGGGGCTTGCAGCCATACCTGCTGCTGCTGCTAATGATGACGATGATTCCATCTTATTTTATGATTCTGTTATTTCTCAGATTGAAAATTAAAGGCAGAGTAAAATGCAGCAAACACTATCTGGTATTGAATTAACCCCTGCCCCCACCCCAAAATCCATAAGTTGCAACCCTTCACCCACTTAGACTGCTTAAAGGTAATTGATTTCAGTCAAATTTTAGTAGCTGATGTTGAAGAATTGCAGGTTTTGTGCAGTTGGCTTTGATTTCCTCCTCCTATAATTACATTTCCCCCTTTTCTAAAATGATAAAACAATGATGTTTAAAAGGGCAACAAAAAGTCCTTAGTCCCAGAGTTATTAACATGTTTTACATAGACTAATTATGTAACATGCCTATGATCTATAATATAGTAGTACCTCCCATTATTCCTCAGATAAATAAATTTCCTTTTCTGTTCTATTATAGGAGGGGGAATTGGTCGGTCTCAATTTGTTTCATGGCACTGAAACAAGTTTTCATTGCCACTTGTGGCATCTCTACAGTTAAGGGGTTCACCAAGCCTCTTTGCCCCCAACATTCACACATACACAAACAAGAAACAGAACATTTTAGAATATATTTTCAAACCTTCAACAATAGGATTTCCCTCCTACTGAGCAGTTTTCTAAAGTCCATGCTTAATAGAGGGGTTTATGGGTATAATTAATCCATAGGGGCCCTTGTAGCTTTTATTCTTATAAATAAATAATTTATCTAAATGAATAAATTATTCTTATTTTTAAGTTATTTTGCTTTCTGTAAAGCAGTAATAGTGAAAAACACAGAGTGGCAATGTTTTCAGGGATGGATCATATTTTGGCCTGCATTTTTCACAATGGTAGGGGTAGTACTGAATGGTAGATAATGGGTTCCTGGGTGGTAGATAATCATAGTTAGTGGCCTTTGTGAGACAATTAAAACAATGTTTACTCTGAAAGGAACTCCATTTGTGTCTGTTGGCCACTCTTGGGATCACCACTGGATGTTGCAGGGCTGTCAAAAACAGATTCAAGGATAATTCTCCTGGCTGTGATATTACTCAGAAGTAATTACTGTG